ATCAGCATATTAGAATGATTTCTGAAGGATCGTGTGACACTGAAGACTGGAGTAATGATGCTAAAAATACAGCTTTGATCACAGAAATAAATTACATTTTACTATATATTCAAATAGAAAATGGCTATTTTAATTTATAATAATATTTCACAATATTCCTGTTTTTACTGTATTTTTGATCAAATAAATGCAGCTTTGGTGAGCAGAAGAGCAGAAGCTAGTTTTTTTTAGTACATGTATCTGAAAGAAAAGCCAAGTTAAAGGGACGTTAAAATAATTCCTTTCGTGAAACAATTTATTTTCAATACGAGTTGTCGATTTGACTTTTACTTTGGATCAAACTCAATGTCTTTATTACCCGTTTCCCAAAGCGTGTCTCCCAGCCCCTCTCGCTCCCCATGGACTCCATTGATTTTTCCATGCAACACTGACCTCACATCAACGTTATATACACTTGGAAAGAACCAAAGGCTTTTATAGAGGGCAAGAACTTCCTCCCTTCATCATTTCGTTTTAAATCACAGTCATGATGAACCAGCATTTCTGCATTTCCATTCTTTGGACGGCGTCCTTGAAAGTCCCCAGAAGCCTTCAGGAGAGAAACTGACTCAACAAAACCTCCAAATAAACTCCCTCAAACTGAAACCTCAGGATCCCTTGAAGTGATTTAGTAGTGGGTGACTAAAATAGATTTTTTTTTTTAATGGTCAGCGTAAAGCTGATATATATGATATCACCATATTTAATTTATAGATTGTAAAAAAAAAAAACATAACTGCTGAAATTAAATGTATATTTATTTACATATTTATATATTCACCTAATTTAAAACTAAATAAATGTCAAAATTATTTGAATGATTAAAAAAAAAAAAAGAAACTGTAGTGCCCAAATTTTTTTAATACAAAGGGCCAAAAATTACATTTGATTGAAGCTTGCAGGCTAAAAGTAAATGTTGCATCATATATAATCCAACTATAATGCTGTACATTAAAATGTATTCAATTAAAATTACTTTTATAATACTTTTGTTTTACTTACTGCTTTTAATTGTTAATTACAATAATATATTGACACATCGGCCATACAGCAATGTTGATATTGACAGAAAAACTGACTGGCCAATAGCTGAAAAAAATGCCAAATATTGGCCATGGCAATATCGACACATCGGCCAAACAAAAAAACAGATTGTCCAACATTTAAAAAATGTCAAATATCCGCTGATAATATCGGCCTTGGTGGTATCGACACATCTGCTGAACACAAAAACGTATTGGCTTATGCACATTTAAAAAATGGCAATTTCAACACATCGGCCATACAGCGATGTTGATATTGATGCATTGACAAAACAGAAAAACTGATTGGCCGATAGTTTAGAAAATGCCAGATAATGGCTGATATATCGGCCTTGTATAGAGGTGTTATGGTTCACAGAATTCACAGTTCGATACCACTGGTGTCACGGTTCGGTACGTTTTCGATACGGGTGGGGGGGTAATTGGTTACGTTGCAATGTTGGAAATATTTATGTTGTAAACCATGAAGGCGAGCCAGTGGATATCACACAAGAAACATGCAAACTCTGCGCAAGAGTTATGCCGGTTGAACGTCTTAATCTCAGTAAATTCACTATATGCAGAAAGTGAAAGAAAAAACGGAATGACGGAGTAATGACGGAGCTTTCAGCATCTGACGCCGCATATTCTCTCAGAGACGACGAGAGACGAATCTACTTCAACATATGCTGATAACTGTATATAGCTAACTTTTCATTTATTCCCTTAATATTTCTCTTGTGGCCCGTACATTGTGGAAAAAAATAAGAAATGTATTTCGTGTTAAACAGGTTGTTTTTGAAAGTCGGTGCTTGAAATAAAACGTTTTATTTCATTGATTTTTATTGATGACTGCAGTGTTAATATTTTAATTATAGACCTATAATTCATTGTATAATAGACCTGTTTTACTTTTTTAAAAACATTTTAATCGAGGAGTAAATAGCCTAATCTTTTGTAATCCTTGCAGTGCGTCAGTTATGTGGTTGGCTAATTATTTCGGGGCAAATTAATTGTATAATCTTGATTTAATTATAAAAGTAACTTCTTATTAATAATAGGCCTAATAAAATAAGAATGTAACAGGCCTAAATTTAATTGGAAATGCCAAATCCTCATATTAATCTCAGTAAATTCACTATATGCAGAAAGTGAAAGAAAAAACGGAATGACGGAGTAATGACGGAGCTTTCAGCATCTGACGCCGCATATTCTCTCAGAGACGACGAGAGACGAATCTACTTCAACATATGCTGATAACGGTATATAGCTAACTTTTCATTTATTCCCTTAATATTTCTCTTGTGGCCCGTACATTGTGGAAAAAAAATAAGAAATGTATTTCGTGTTAAACAGGTTGTTTTTGAAAGTCGGTGCTTGAAATAAAACGTTTTATTTCATTGATTTTTATTGATGACTGCAGTGTTAATATTTTAATTATAGACCTATAATTCATTGTATAATATACCTGTTTTACTTTTTTAAAAACATTTTAATCGAGGAGTAAATAGCCTAATCTTTTGTAATCCTTGCAGTGCGTCAGTTATGTGGTTGGCTAATTATTTCGGGGCAAATTAATTGTATAATCTTGATTTAATTATAAAAGTAACTTCTTATTAATAATAGGCCTAATAAAATAAGAATGTAACAGGCCTAAATTTAATTGGAAATGCCAAATCCTCATAATATTGCCAATAATTGATGTTTTTGACAATATCGTCGATACAAGATCATCGTCTTTCAATGCACCCCAGCAAAGGGAGGTTATCGCGGGGCAGACATTGTGTTGCCTGTTACGACGTTTAGGCTGCCTTGGTGAGCACAGTGGCACTGAGAACATTATATTTCACACTCTTAAGTTATTTTATTTTCCAAATTTAATAGAATTAGTCCAACGAAAAGTTCGGCTTGTAATGCATACCGAACCGAAAGCCTCGTAGCGAATGGTTCAGTACGAATACGTGTATCGTTACACGCTTACTTGTTAATATCAACACATCGGCTAAACAGAAAAAAACTGATTGTCCAATACCGATATTTGAAAAATGCCATACAGTATATCGGCCTTGGTGATATCAACACATCTGCCAAACACACTAACTGATCGGCTAGTAGTTTAAAAACTGTCAAATATCGGCCGATATATATTAGACATAGCAATATCGACACATCGGCCAAACACAAAAACTTGTTGTCCAATGCCGATAATTGGAAAATGTCAAATATTAGATGATTTATTGACCTTGGGAATATCAACACATTGACCACAGAGAAAAACTGATTGTCCTATACCAATAGTTGAAAAATGCCAAATATTGGTCGATATATCGGCCTTGGCAATATATCGGTAAACCACTAATTTAGAGGGGAATGTGTGATTTAGCCTCACTCACAGGTGACATCAAAAACATGTGTAGGATGAGATTTCAGCAGGAAAATTTAACAGGTGACATCACCCACCAAAATCGGCCCTTGGGATGCCATCTTAAGCCTGTTTTCCAGCCTCTTAAGAGATCAGTGCAGGACTTCAGCATCTCCTGTCTGTCTTCACCTGTGTTCACCTCTAATCCTGCTGGAGAAATCAGCCAGCATCCTCACATACTCTCACAGAGAGCCTTTTATAGGCCTGGCCGGACATGTTTAAGCCATAAAACCCAGAAGTATTAATATATGCAGTAATTTGTCTGTGTGTGTGTGTCTGCGCTCATCACACATTCATAGTTTGATGTGTTTTCATTGCAGGGCTTCTGTTCCTGGTTGACGGCCATATTCAGAATAAAGTAAGAGGCTCTTTGACTTTAATGTGAGATTGTTCATATCAATAGCACAGCACAACAGAACACACAGTGCTAGACCTTGAAAAACAAACCCTTTTTTAACAAGGGTTTTATTTTAATTGTTTTCATTTTAATTGAACATTTTTATGATTTTATTAGTTTTTAGTAAGTTTTATTTACATTTACATTTAGTCATTTAGCAGACACTTTTATCCAAAGCGACTTACAAATGAGGACAATAAAAGCAATCAAAACTAACAAAAGAGCAACGATATATAAATGCAAATGACAAGTCTCGGTTAGCCTAACGCAGTACATGTAGCAAGGTGTGTATATATATATATATATTATACACACACACATACACACACAAACAAAGAAAAACAAGTAGATAGAATAGAAAAAATAGAAAGCTAGTGTTTGTTTTTTGTTGTTGTTGTTTTTTTTAAATAAAGAACAAAAAATTAAAAAGATAAATATAGATAAAGTAGAATTATAGTAGAATAGAAAATGTTAGAGCTACAAATTATTTAGATTTGTATTTTAAATTATTTTAATTGTATATTTTTAATGGTTATTTTTGTAGTGTTTTATTTTAAAATGATTTATCTTTGTACAATTGTATGATTTTTTTTTTTTACTTGTATTAAGAAATTTTATATTTTTGATTTCATTAATTTAATTATTTAATTTAATTTATTTTGATGTTTTATCATTTATTTTAATTGTATTTTTTATGATTTTATGCATTTTTACTAATGCTATCAAACGATTAATCGCATCCAAAATACAAGTTTTTGTTTACATAATATATGTGTATACTGCGTATATTTATTATGTATATATAAATACAAACACATGCATGTATATATTCATGAAAAATATGTTATGTTAATGTTAAATATATTTATATATAATATAAGAATATAAATATTTGCATGTAAATACATGTAAATATTTACTGTATGTAAGTGTATTTATATATACATAATAAATATACACAGTACACACAGATATATAAACAAAAACTTTTATTTTGGATGCGATTTAATTGCGATTAATCGTTTGACAAGTTTTTACCAAGCAGATTGTTTTTATTATTATTTTAAATAATTACTTTTAATATTTTATGGTTTATTTCATGTATTCAGATAGTATGAGTTTATTTATTTATTTATTTTTAATGATTTTTCTTAATTGTATATTTTTATTATTTTGTAGTGTTTTATTTTAAAATTATCTTTTTTAATTCTACAGTTTTATGATTTTTAAAAACCTTTATCAAGCATTTTATTTAAATTATGTTTGGCATTTATTATTCTTAAATTTATTTTTGTTGCACATCTTATGACTTTATAACTTTTTAGTAAGCATTTTATTTTGCTGAATTTTATTGATTTTATTTTCACTATTATTTTTACATTATTTTAATTTAGCATTTTTATGATGTTAATTGATTAGCTTTTCTTCAACTCGCCATCTTCCTGCATTTCCCTTAGAGTCCCTTAGAAACCTCACTGCTCCATAATCCATACTATATATTCTATAAATCAGAATCAGAAGAGCTTTATTACCAAGTATGTTTACACACACAAGGAATTTGACTTGAAGTCAGGAGCTTCCAGTGCAGAAGAAAGTACAGACTAGGGATATGCCGCTATCAAATTTTCATGTTGCGATTAATTGATCATGCTTTTATCACGGTATACGGTATTATCATGGTATTGGAATTTAGTTGCAAAAAAGTGTTGTCATAGTCCAGTATAACAAGTTTAATAACTATTTTTCTTATAACAACAATAACTGAACATTTACATAATTTAGAAACATTTAAATTAGTTAATGCATTAACATTCACAATGAGCAATAGCTGCATTTACTACAGAAGTTATTCATCTTTGTTAAAAAAAATACAACTCTTAGTTCATGTTAGCTCATTAAATAACACTGTTGCAACTTTTGATTTTAACAATGTGTTATTAAATATTGGAATTACCTAAGATTAATGAATGTTTAGAAGAATTTTTCATTGGCAGTTTATGTTAACTAATGAAGCCCTAATGTAAAGTTTGACCGAAACACTTTCAACACTAGGGCATGTTTGAAAATAAATAGCCTATTAAATCGAAATATTTAACCCTTAAATGCATACCTCGGGTCTTTAGCGACCCGGGACATCATTCTCTACCCTCTCCCTCCTTTATTTTTTAAAGTTAGACATCAACTTTCTTAGTATTCTTCAATCTATTCATTATATTGAAGAGGCAGGGAGGCGTTTCTGTTATTTGGTTTGTGACATCCTTTACCGGAAACGCCGGCGCAAGGTTAGTCGCAGCACTTGGTCACGCGTTGCACCAGAACCGTTTTCGGAATCGAAACGTATAAATTGCTCACGGTTCCGGTTCTAAATAAGAACCGGTTCTCGGTTCCCAGCCCTACTCCTGTGGCAGGTTGAATTTCCTCAGCTGGTGAAGGAAGTACAACCTCTGCTGGGCCTTTTTAGCAATGGAAGTAAAGTATACTGTTTACCCCATACTTGTAGTATATATTACATAGTCTGCACGCTGCCATCCATACTATGTACTTACAATTCCGTACCTAAAACTATTATTCCATTCTTTATTGTCTATAGTCCATACTCTGTAATCAAGCCTTCTCTCTCTGTATGTTCTGTCTATCATGAAGTATGAGGGGTGGCTAACGCGAGTCTCGTTCCCCGCAGGGACGAGGAGATCCGGGAGAAGTGTGGTGAAGATGCCGTTCATTACCTGTCGTTCCAGCGGCACATCATCGGTCTGCTGGTTGTGGTGGGCGTGCTGTCGGTGGGCATCGTTCTGCCGGTCAACTTCTCAGGCAACCTGCTGGGTGAGTCCTGAGGTCAGAGGTCAGCGGTGCGATTGTAGGTCCGTTAGCGGTGATGAAAAGTATTATAGTCACTTAAAGCAGATGTTTCACTTGAAAGTAGTGATGCATGATATATCGGTGACCAATGTATTCAGTGCGGATTATTCATTTTGGCTCGTTTTAATCGGTATTGTCTGTTGTAGGTAAATAAATGCCATTTTCTGTTCTTTTTGTAAGGATTAATTAACCCTGTAAAGCCTACTGTATCATATTTGAACAAGTATTTTACGTATTTAGCCAGTAAAAGGCCTAATAATTGCACAAGCTTGAGCTTCACGTGTCTTTTTGCTGTGAAATCTTTACAGATTTTTGTAAATTAAACAAAAGAATAACATTTGTATATTTTTAATGTTTTAACAGTTTTATGATTTTATTAATTTATTGTGTTTTATATCGATGTTGTAAAATTAATTATTTTAAATGTATTTGTTATACATTTTTAGCAAGCATTTTGGTTTGATCTTTATTTTAAAGTCATGTATTTTAACTGTATATTTTATAATTGTATTCATTTCTAAAGTGTTTTGTTTAGATTTGTTTTATTTTAAAATTATTTTTCTTAATTGTACATTTTTATGACTATTAATTTTGTAGTTGTTTTTAATTTGATCATTTTAAAATGATTTCATTAATTATAAGTGTATTATTTAAAAAATAATTTTTCATGATTTTATTATATGTGTGTATTTTAAAAGGATCGATTTTATGATTTTATTAACTTTTAGTAAATGTCTTATTTTAATTTAATTTTAATTTAAAATCTATTTTCATTATACATATGATTTTTTTTGTTTTGTTTTTGTTTTACATTTTTCTGATTTTAATTTGCTTTTAATTTTTAATTAACATTTATTTATGCATTTAAGATTTTGTCTGAAGGTTCAATAAATGGTTCCATTAAAACCTTATACCTTTACAGGATTAACAAGTGGAACCTCAGGCTAAAAAGCATCTGTATATGTGGGCTGCTTACATGTTCACACATTCAATCATGAGTTATTGTATCGGCCACAAAGAGCTGGTGATTATTGCTGATGTTTATCGACTGAAGATAAAGTTAAAAGATATACGACTCCCATTATCGTCAGGTTATGTTTTTCTGAGCACAGAACTCTCCATCATTAGACGCTGTCCCGTCTCTCTGGCCTGTCGCGTGGCGCGCTGTAGCTTATCATCAGAGAGGGTTAATCCACAGCGCTCCGCTCCAGTAATGAGATTGAACTTCTATCTGCTCGCCGGGTAATTGGATGCCTGTTGCAGGGAAAGAGGACAGAGAGAGCGGCCCAAAGACACAAAAACGAATGGAAAGAGGTCAAACAGATGAGGACACTTTGCACGAGTCCTTAGAGACGGGGTCAGTGTGGACAGAGTCACAGAGGACAGAGAGTTCGGTCAGAAACAGGCTTGATGCAAATGTTTGGGGCGGGAAGAGGTCGTCTGAGCAGCATGTAAAGAGACATATTATAGTTTGTTGTTTTATGAGCCATTTAGACATGCAAAGTAACAATAGAAACTGCCCGCTTCTCAGATGCAACACATTGCATTGCATCAAAAGATGAAATGTCATATCTATAGTTCTTATGAATGTTTGCGACCTTAGATAGAAGGTACGGGCCAGTGTTTCTATCATTGATGTACTATTATTGTAATATTTTGAATTAGTCTCTATTTTTACATTTTAAATTGAAAGTAATTTTATTTATCTTTTTTATAATCTGTATAGTTTTTATTATTTATTTAGTTATAATTTATTTAGTATTATTGGTTAATTTTGTTTAGTGTTTTAGTATTTTAGTACTAAATAAAAGTCCCCATATCTCCTCATTTGCTTTATCTAATAATGCAATTATAAAAATATTACTTATGCACTCTCTTTATGTAATTTTTTTTGTTTCATGTATCTAATTCTTTTATTTGATTCTATTGATTTCCATCTCTTAATCATTTCAGATTTGATCATTTGTTTTGTTTTATTTTAATTAATTAATTAATTACTTTATTTTATTTTATATTTTAAGTTTGTATTATTTCTTTAGTTGTTTTTATGCAATTATGTCTTTTATTATTATTATTATTTTTAATTTCTTTCTTTTGCATTCTGTTTCCTGAGAATGACCCTTTTGTTAGCTTTCAAAAGCACAAATTAAGTTGTTGTTGTTCATTTTTTTTCCTCAGAAAATAACGCATACAGCTTTGGACGCACAACAATCGCCAACTTGAATTCTGGGTGAGACATTTTATTCATTGCACAAATATTGCAGCCCCCTTTAATTATTTGAAGATGTCATGATGCATTTCGAGTATTCTGGGTAAAGTGGACGTGTCTCTTTCTCTTTGTGATTCAGAAATAACCTCTTATGGCTGCACACATCATTTGCCTTCATGTACCTGCTCCTCACCGTCTACAGCATGAGACGCCACACGTCCAAGATGCACTACAAAGAAGATGATCTGGTATGTTAACTGCATCAATTTAAAGGAACAGTTCCTTTTTAACTCTCATAATGCATTTGGGTCCGCTTTGACCTGGAAGAGATGCATAAAAAAAAAAATAGCATTTTGCATGATTGGGTCATTTAGGACCCGGGTACCATTAGGTGTCAGAAATACTTTTTGTAAAATTATCTATGAAGTTATATTAGTCAGAAACCTTTGGTAAAATCATTTATATTTTTCCCGATATCTCACACACTTTTGGGACTGAATTGTGTTAAAAAAGTAACATGTATGTCTGTTGATGAACCATTGCAGCATGAAAAATTGACTTTTTTTTTTTCTTCGTGTGAAAGTTTGTGCAAGTAAAAATGTCATTTATTTTGTTTGAAACTTTTTTTTTTTTTAATGTTAGTTTTTTTTTAATTTTTTTATCATGGTTCATGTGCAATTTGAAATTTCAAAGTATTTCTCAAAATTGTAATTAATAAAAGCATTCAAAACATTGAAATGTTTTCACATGCGCTCAATTATTTAAAAGTTGCTAATTAGATACAATTTGGTTTTAGATGACAAATATTATGACTGTTTTATGTTATAATGACTCTTCAGGTCCGAACGGACTCTTAATGTTGAAATAGTATGCAGATTTTAAATGGAAACAGTGCAGCATGAATATTTTGCTAAACATCTCTGTATGGTTTATACTGGTTTGCAATGTGATTAAATGATTTTGGGCTGAGCGTTTCCTTTATTTTGTATACGGTAATAACAGAAAAGCCATCTGGAGGAGTCTTGTGATGTGTGCAGCTCATCATTAGTCATGCTGTAACGCTTATGAAATATTCATGAAGTCCGTCTATAGCCCTGACCTACATTTCTGAGTCGAGCGTTTAACCTCGATCCGCATTGCAACGTCCTCCAGCATCTGTGCATGTGTAAATAACCCAAATATCATGCTTTCCCCTCTCTCCTCAGGTCAAACGCACTTTATTTATCAACGGCATCTCCAAATATGCAGAAGAAAGCCATATAAAACAGCACTTTGAGTAAGACCACTCTTTTTCTCCTCTTTATGCTTCAAACACAATTTTTTCCCTTTACATTAACATCCTAAATGGGTCACTGGAATATCTGCCCACTGTAAATCATGTCAAATATTAAAATCACGTGTGGTTTGTGCGTTAGCGGGCGTCTACGTTCTCTCTGGAGCTCCGCTTCTGCAAGCATCTGCCGTAATTGTCTAAATGAGTTTTTTAAATTCGAGGCATGCAGCCGATCAGCCAAAAATGAGTGTGATGAGGCGCTGGGGAGGAGCTATGAATAGACTCGAGTGTCTAATGTCATTTTACCTGAGACAGAGCTGCTGAAATCAGAGGAAAACATCACAGGCTGCTTGTTCACTGTAATGATGAACAACGGGAGTGTATAGATGTTTAGCTAAAGGTACAATAACGTTCAAATGTTTGGGGTCTGTAAGAGTTTAATGTTTTTGAAAGAAGTCTCTTCCGCTCACCAAGGCTGCATTTATTTGATCTAAAAATAGATTAAAATGTGGAAATATTTTTAGAATTTAAAAGAAGTGTTTTCTATGTGAATATCTGTTGAAATGTAATGTATTTCTGTGATGCGCAGCTGTATTTTCAGCATCATTACTCCAGTCTTCAGTGTCACATGATCTTCAGAAATCAGTATAATATGCTGATTTGCTGCTCAAGAAACATTTCTGATTATTATCAATGTTGAAAACAGTTTCTGTGGAAGCAGAGATACAGGATTTTTTCAGGATCCTTTGATGAATAGAAAGATCAAAAGAACCGTTCACTGTAATGATGGACAACGGGAGTGTATAGATGTTTAGCTAAAGGTACAATAACGTTCAAATGTTTGGGGTCTGTAAGAGTTTAATGTTTTTGAAAGAAGTCTCTTCCGCTCACCAAGGCTGCATTTATTTGATCTAAAAATAGATTAAAATGTGGAAATATTTTTAGAATTTAAAATAAGTGTTTTCTATGTGAATATCTGTTGAAATGTAATTTATTTCTGTGATGCACAGCTGAATTTTCAGCATCATTCCTCCAGTCTTCAGAGTCACATGATCTTCAGAAATCAGTATAATATGCTGATTTGCTGCTCAAGAAACATTTCTGATTATTATCAATGTTGAAAACAGTTTCTGTGGAAGCAGAGATACAGGATTTTTTCAGGATCCTTTGATGAATAGAAAGATCAAAAGAACAGCATTTATTTGAAATCTTTTGTAACATTATAATGCATCCATGATCAATAAAAGTATTAATTTCTGATTAAAAATGTATTAAATGTTCCTTGTAATATTTGATTTAGATTGGATTCTGATTTTAATTATTTTATTGTCAATTAATCAATTAAAATGTATTTTAAATGTTACTTTTAAATTGCATTTTAAAGAGGAATTTGCTAGTTACTTTCATTTATTCATTAGCAATCATGCAAACATGAATTTTGTACACATTGTTTACATTAAAGTAAATAAATAAAGACCAAAAAATTTTCATTATATTATACCTCAGTGAATATTTAAATATCAATTAAATAAGTCTGTTTTTATTCTTATTCATAGTGATTATTCATATTTTTTTACACTTTTTTACATGAAAGCAACCAATAAATGTTGACTATATTATACCTCAGTAGATATTTAAACATTAGTTAAATACATTTTTTTAATAAAATGGTGATACATTTTTATTTTTCAGGATTCTTTGATGGAAAAAAAAGTTGAAAAGAACAGCATTTGAAATAGAAATATTTTGTGACATTATAAATGTCTTTACTCACAGTTTTGATCCATTTAATGCATCCTTGCCGAATAAAAGTATGAATTTCTTTTCAAACAGTAAAGATTTCTGACTGCAAACTTTTGAACAGTGTTTGTACATAATACACTTCAGTCATAGCAAATGACTTGAGAAAATGTAGTTCTTGCATTTCCAAAATAAAAACTCACACAATTCTCTTTTAACCAAAGTAACACTGTTAGCTGTTTGTCTGAAATCATAATGATATCAGAAATATCATAAAGTGAGTGTGAGATGTTGATTTCTTCATTTGTGTCTCTCAGACAGGCGTACGAGAACTGTGTCGTACTGGAAGCGCGTGTTTGTTACAATGTGGCCAAACTGATGTCCCTCAACGCCGAGAGGTAAAATTCTGGTTTTGAATGAATTGCTCAGATTTGGCTCAGGATAGGAAGCTCTTCCTGTGAGTTTCTCTTTTAGGTTCAGAAATGAGTCTATCCACTGATCTGACCTCTGAGACCTTTTATCGATCTGTTAGACGGGCTGAGGTTTCCTCTGAGCTTCTGTGTGTGTGTGTGTGTGTGTGTGTGTGTGTTTGTTTGTGTGTCTGTTTGTTTGTGATTGTGTGTGTGTGTGTGTGTGTGTGCGTGTGCGTGCGCGCGCGTGTTTGTTTGTGTGCGCGTGTGTGTGCGTTTGTGTGTGTGTGTGTGTGTTTGTTTGTGTGTGTGCGTGCGCGCGCGCGTTTGTTTGTGTGCGCGTGTGTGTGCATTTGTGTTTGTGTGTGTTTGTTTGTGTGTGTTTATTTGTGTGTCTGTTTGTTTGTGATTGTGTGTGTGTTTGTGTGTGTTTGTTTGTGTGTGTGTGTGTTTGTGTGTGTGTGTGTTTGTGTGTGTTTGTTTGTGTGTGTGTGTTTGTGTGTTTGTTTGTGTGTGTGCGTGTTTGTTTGTGTGTGTGCGCGTGTGCGTGTTTGTTTGTGTGTGTGCGTGTGTTTGTGTGTGTGCGCGTGTGCATGTTTGTTTGTGTGTGTGTGTGTGTGTGTGTGTGTGTGT